AACCCCCCCCCCCCCCCATATAGGCCCTATAGGCCAAACCAAGCTAAACGTCATTCTTTTCATTTTTGCTGATTAGCATACAAGTTAACCAATTGAAGACGTCGCCAAAGTATATATCTATTAAATTCAAAAGTTGAATGAGTAGGTCAAATTGAGCAGTTTGTACAAGTTTCAGCTCGCTGCAACCTATAACTAAAAACTGCGAAATTGCTGAGTGGCAAAAATATTGATGATCTCAGACATTAACTATGCGGAGTTTACAGAGAGAATTTTGACGAAACTATTCATATATGGGGCTCACATTTTCAGAGATAGTTTAAATTGTTGTCCTCTTTCAATATTCATAGAACGATGTTATTTTATTAGGTTAATAAGATAATGATGGGCCGTCATGTTAATCAGATGTAAAAAAGGAAAAAAAGGAATGTAAAGAAGGATTCGAATCAGTACTCGAACCAAACCAGTGTATCATAGTTTTACAACCCTTAGATAACTCACAATTCTTTTGCTAAATCACAGTAATTGTTTGCTTATTAGCTTCTCAGGTCAAAAACGTGCTGAAAAAATGCTTTGACTGCTAAGCTCTAGGTCTTATTTCTATCTGTTTGACGGATTCTTCGTATAGAGTATGATTAAAAAGTAGGAGCTCTTCACACGCTATGCCTTTTTGACTTTAATTAACATCGTCAGTGACCCACGCCAGGAGAACAAAAAATGCAGCTATAATTGGTTTATTACAATAGGCCATTTACAAGATGACGTCATTTAACTACGATCAGAATTTTCAGGCTTTTGCCTTCTTGTGCAAATAGGACACGTGACTTTTGGAGGGCATCAAGTTTATTTGTGGCCCAAGTAGCATCATTTGGGCCCGAGAGGAGAGAGGGTGCAAATGATGCTACGAGAGACACAAAAATAAACTCTATGCCCGACTAAAGTACAAGTAATGTCAGGCAGTGATTATCATTATTATCATTACACAAGGCCAAATCGTGCAAATTTATTTCATAAGGAAAGATTGTTAACATGAAATCATGTTGCGGGCTGCCCGCGCCTTGCCGTTTGTCCGCGAAAAAGAGCATTTTAGAGAGGTCAGTTTGTCATTTGCCCGCAATTGAATAAAGAAAAGACGAAAAGAATCCCGGTCGTACTAGTAAAATGAAATGGTCTATTGTAATAATATCACATCTAAAAGCACTGAGCGAGCTGGAGAGGCCTAATACAGGTTGTTCCAAAAGTTCGTTCCTCTAGTTTCATGCGCTATAACTTTTGATAAAAACTTTTATCTTACATGAAATTTCTAGGAGACGTTTATTGCTTCATCGAGTGCATGTATTCAGAATTTAGTAACCAGCATTCCCCCTTTGTTTTTTATCACATTCTGTAGCGTTTGGGACGTGGAATAGGATACAGCGTGTAAAGCCACAGATGATCTATTTTGCGCTTTTTCATCACCGGGTACGCAAGAGCCACTTCTCCACTTCGGCCCCCGCCCCCCAAACAACATTTTTTTTTAGCCTAGGCAGCTGAAAAAAAATATACTATTCACACACTATACTTTATTTCATGCATAACATTTTGCCATCTCCACCCGCAAATAGCAAAAGCTAGACGAGGCGGGCGGAGAGGAAAGGTTACAGCAGTCATAACAGATAATATAATAATTGTAAAGTAACTAAATAAACTATGTGGATAAAAAAGAATTACTGAAAAACAAGCTAAAGCATTCATCCAAAAACTGAAAGATAATCATTCCAGCCCCTATCCACACCAACGCTTTTGTACCTCTTTACAAATTTGAGACGAGCTGATCGTGTTTGCCAGACTAACAGAGGTTTTGTTGCCATAACTCTAAACTTGGCTTGCTGACTATCGTGAGCGCTATGTCGTTGAGTTGTCTCTTTTGTATCTAACCTTCTTCAAAACTATTTTAGCCGCTTTATTCAGGACAATCAGTCTTCCTCTTCTTTTTTTGTCTTCAAAACCTTCATTTCTCGATGACCATTTCACCACCCAAGATTCGGATTTTTGCAGTTTTTTTAGCAGTTATTTCTACTGATAAGCCGGTAAATCGAAGTAAACTTGCTTATGCTTTCATGTAGCTGAACGTTTTTGCGTTTAGAGGGTTTTTTCTTTCATGATATTCACAAAAAACAAGGAAGAAGTTTGAGCAAACCGGACTCTGACAAGATACAAAAAAATATGTGGCGGGAAAATGCACTCGCGCACGCGCCGCCTTTGGCGCGGAAGAATAGAATATTAGAGTCACAAGATGGCAGAACAAGCATAAAATATTAAATTATATTGAAAGACACAACTTTTGTTCAAACGAACAATTGGACTACATTACAGTCTTATAAAGTGGAGGAACGAACTTTTCGGACAGAATAACCAGGCCTCAATTGTTCGCTTGGGAGGTCTAAGAAGGGAGCAAAATGAACCGATACTGAAACAAACTTACAAAGACGTACCTACTCTGCTAGCATATGAAAGAAAGATATGTGGAACTTTTGATGAACATTAAGTCTCAAAAATTTTAATTATGAACGGTCGGCCAACTCCCTTTATATATATCGGAGAGAGTAACTAGTAAAAGGGCGTAGAAAAACAAAAAACAAAAAAAAGGCTTTGGCATAAAATGACACCGTTTCTCTTATTAGTTAAAAGTTGGTCCTGGCTTCCTAGGCCCGGTTGCATAAAACGCCCGTAACAGTTACGGGTATACGTACGTGCACTCGTAACTTAAGTGAGTTGCATTAAATCACTTAAGTGGTCCACTTAGGGAATTCACTTAAGTGTTTGCACTTACGATTTTCGTAAGTGTTCACTTAAGTGTCGGTTATGCAACAGAAATTGCGGGTGTTGCATAAAACTTTTTTTACGGGAAAAATAGCTCGTAAATTTACGGGACCTATGTAGGTCCCGTATCGTTACTGTTTTTACTAAAGTTAACAAGATCTTTTACTGAGAAGTGAAAAAAAGTAATTTTTCTTCACGTAATTCGTTCTAATGCGCCTTGTGATGTACAATTTAAGCCGACGTTGTGAAAAAAGAAGAAGAATTATCATTTTCAGTAGACATTGAAGAAAAATAACGATTGCATGCAAATTTCATTTTTTTGAGAGGCTTAAAAGTGTTCGAAACGAATAAAAAATTTCTTTACACTCACCGATGGTTAGCTTAAAAAAGAAGAGTCAGTCATTAATAAAGTACTGTATCAAAGTTAGGTGAGCCTTTAAGTGAGCCCGTAAGTTACCACGTAAAACAGTAACTTACGAGAGTGCTAAGTGCGTTTCATGCAACACCCGTAAGTGTACCCATAACGGATTCGTAAGTGACCTACTTAAGTGGGCACTTAAGTGTAGGTTTTATGCAACCGGGCCCTGGCTAGTAGCCTGGGAAACGACTAGCTGTTAAATTAAACTATTCCCACTTCTGGAGAAACATTGGTTATAACTACAAAGAACTACAAAGGACTGTAAACGAATACGCCGCAGAACGAAGGATCTGCAGAAGAACTCATCTGAAAAAAATATACAAAGTTGGACTACGAATGTTTTTTATTAATTTCTCAAGTGCTAAAGCCAATACTTTGGTCCTTTAGCCACCACATGGAAGTTACCTAAACCTGTCATTGATTTTATTATTATAATCATTATGATAAGTATTGTTCCATCACTATGATTATTACCACGATTTGTTATTTTCGTTTAATTTCGATATCATTACTATTATCGTCATCGTTGTCGTCATCGTTATCGTTAACTTTTCACTATTATTCGAAATACTGCCTGTCCTCTTCAAGCCACAAGTCAGGTCTTTGCTTTGGTTCCAATCGGGTCACAAGAACATGGTAGACAAAGAGGCCACTTGATGAATGTGTTACCTCGATATTTATTCATTTACATGCCATGGTCAGGTCTAATACTTGCAGTATAAGAGTCAGCCTGAAGAGTGGGTATAATAATCCATTGCATGTATTTGTTCAGTTTCCCTTTCCGGGGCGAATGCGCGAACATCCTAGAAGGAAGGGAAATGACTTGCTGTTGAAATTAACTATTCCTACTTCATGTGGGTTATAATTTACGCCCTCGAGCAATCCATGCAACAACTTGCATTTGACCGAGAGGATGTCGTGAAACGAAAATTTTAAACGGAGTAGAAAGTTGTTAAATATTGATTTATTACTGATATAAAATTGCGCTTGCCTATGACCTGGACGTCTTGTTTTAATTGTTTTTGTCAGCTCCAGCTATCTGCTGATTTGCCTTTTGTCTTTCCTTGAAAACCCAAGTTTTAGCGGTATCTTTTCTCGGAAAAGCTGGCTTAGACCGGATTTGTTCCATCTACTTTTCGTTCAGTTTAGAAATGAAGATACTGCAAAAAAAAAAATTAAATAGAGAAGATAACAGGGACTGAATAACGATATGAGATAGAATGACATTCTAAAGTTAAAACCAATATTGCACCACTTGTCACCTTTTCAGGAATAACGATCGGAGTATAGCACAATAGTCCTGCCTTAGTGATGTTTATGACGGTACGGTGTAATTAATATCAGACTCATATCTGATCTTTCTTGACAAAATGATGACCTCCAAGACCCACTCAGGGGGTGATTAATATCATGAAGAAACAAAGACTAGAATTTCATAATTTCTATAAACAATTCTATCTGCGCCAATGGCGTCAACTCGCCCTTCATCAAATCTCCACACCGTTGTGTCAGGTCTTCATCTGATTTTTACAATCGCATCAGTTGCTTTTCTTTCTTTCAAAGTCTATCACCTCGATTGTGAGCTTTCCTTAATTCGAGGAAAAGTTTCGTTAAGTGAAGGCGACGTAAAAGTGACCGAAGGGACCCCGCTGTCTGCAGATTCAAATAACGAAGAGCTCAGAAGTGAAAGAAATCGCCGAGATGATCAACAGAAGCTCAAATCATATACAAAAGACAACCTCAAGGCAGCATGTGTCCAGAAGTTGTTGGGCGATCTTCAGGTATCAAATTGTTTCCCTTTAATTTGTAGCATTTTTGTACTACTGAGCGATCGAGTTGCCAGTTTCCGTTCAGACAAATCTAGGTAGTGCGTCAGTGTTGCGAGTGTGCGAGTGTGCGTACGTGATTACCAGCCCTGGCACTCATAAACTATAGAAAAAGCGCAAAAATTTGGAATTACGCATTGCATTAGAAAAGTGTAGCAACTTTTAGAGCTTCGGCATCATTTTCTTTGAATCCCAATTTCCGTGACCCGTTGAGTAATTATAACATCCACGATGGGAACCATTTTGAACTGATGGCACAGCATATCTCGTATCTCCCTATTTTACCACGTGCTGCTAGTCAAATCACTGAAAAACCTACCTAGACCGTTTCCCTTCCCTGATTTCAAGTGATAGTCCTGATCTTGGTATCTAAGCACCAAGGAGGGTTAGGTAGAGGTGGAGGCGGGATAGAAGATACATTTGATACTCGTTTACTCTTTTACAGCATTGCAGCAAGCGCTTGTCGATTTGACGATGATACGAAAAAGTAGAGGATTGTAAAGTAAACAGTCTTTCCCTCAATTAAGAAAACATATAGGAAATTCCCTCTTGAGCTTCCGGAGTCTCGGTAGACTAACTATCAGTATACGTTCACAGTGTAAGTTGCACTAGTACTAGGCTGAGTCATCAACTGAACACAATTGGCCCACGATCCATTACAGTTTAGCTTATTTGAATCTAAGGACCTCTTGCCTCGGGGGGGGGGGAGGGGAGTGCTCCCTTATATTTGTCTTATAGGTAACGTNGGGGGGGAGGGGAGTGCTCCCTTATATTTGTCTTATAGGTAACGTATGTGCCGCCCCAAAGGGTATGGTTTGTGCGCCTTTTAGGTCTGAAAACGGCGGGTAAAGGCTTTCCCTATTTTCGTCTGAATTAGGGTATGTTTTTCCAGGGACTGAATACGGGTCGGAGCGCATGAACGTATTTGTCGTTTTAAGTCCAAATGAATAAGAAAGCGAGAGCAATATGCGAATTCGAAACGGATTTTAAGAAATCTTTTTGTTGGCGTTCTAATCTAAGTAATTATATCATAATTTCTGCCAACGCTAGGTCTGAAAACGGGCATGGAGCGAATTTTGGTTTGAGACAGTATTGTCAAGATTTATAGAACCAGGTTGCACATCCCCAACACGAATTCCCAGGAATACCTCCCACGGGTACTCATGCATGTACAAATGTTTGTGATCATGTGAGAGATTAGCCTGTAGTGCAGGCGTATTTTGGGCGGGCGAAAGCTGCTTGTTTATGTTCGTACTGTTGTAACCGCTATCTTTGTTATTACGGAGGAAGATTTGGGAGAATAAAAACCATTTTCTCCCCTCTTTTCGAGTTTCAACATGCGCTTTCGCGAGCAAAACATTCGAGCGCCGGAAGAAAACACCTGCACTGCAGGCTAGCGAGAGATGGATTAGAATGAAAATACCAAATATCTTGGTATTTGCTTCGAGTTATTTCTTACCAATCTTGTAAATAATTGACTTGCAATAACTTGCGTCACGTTTATATTATTATGGTCTGGAATAATTTTCTCTTCAGGTCATCGATGATGCAATCAATGGAACTGGAAGACTTGTCTGTATGAGAGGTCAGTACAAATTAATCCAAAAAGCATCCTTAATCGACGTATCGGTCGGCATGTCGGTTGAATGTCGTTGAATGTCGGTCAAGTATCGGTCACAGTGTGTGGCCGATAGTTTCCAGTTCGGAACAGAAACGTTACTCTGAGGTTCCCTTTCAGGTCCTCAAGGCCCACCGGGACAACCAGGTCCACGAGGTCATCGCGGTAAAACAGGACCACCAGGTTCACCCGGTCGTCGTGGCCGTCCAGGAATGCCTGGCAAAAACGGATCTCCTGGAAGGAGAGGTCCTCGAGGGAAACCAGGAAAGGGTTCCCATGTTAATGTCACCGAGATTGAAAACCTTCTGGAAATATTGAAGACATACAGTCCTGAGGATATAACATTGTTTGGTTAGTACAAATCCTTTGGAAAGATATTCGAGATTGCAAATCACTGTCTCTCCTATTTTTTTAGTAGTTAGTGGGTTAATTTTTTTTATGTACACCCAACAGCTCCGCCCCGATTTACAAAGAAACCCCCTTCTTCCATCGTCATTAAGGAGGGTGGTAATCTGTCATTCAGTTTTTCTACATCCGGGAATCCGGCACCCAAGATCACGTGGTCTATGCAGGGTAAAAGCAGAGAAAGCCCAGCTCGATTCAGGATACTAGATGACAAGTTTGAGATGGACAATGTACGCTTCGAAGACGAGGGATTAATCACTTGTCACGCTGAAAATATGTTTGGTGTTGAAGTATCCAAAGTGAATCTCACTGTTTTAGGTGGGTTGTTATTATTGTTTATTTCAAAACATGGCATATCCTGAGGAGTGCGTGACAAACAGACCATTTAGGAGGAAGGATTAACACAGTTAGTGCTCGCGCGTTCTTCCTTCCTTACCGCTTAGCTGTAAGTAGCTTCAAATACCCGTAAAACGGAGCACCGATGAAGAGAGGGGGCGGGATAAAATGAGCGCGCCGTCGGCCTCAGGTTTATTAGTCAGCGGACTATGTTGAGCTACTGGCGTAAAATGAGGACTCTTCAGTTTGAGCATCTCCATAGTTGCGTTATGTTTAGACGTGTGGTAAGTATTCTTCCATCTTTGAATAAGTGTTCCTTGATGATTTAAAAAGTGCGTGTTTAACCTTTTTTGTTTCTTTTTTTCTTTTCCTCTGCAGGAGCGCCAAGGTTTCCCAAGTCCCCTCCAGTAAAATTGTACGGCTTCTTAGGTACAGAAACAAAAGTGGAATGTGACCTTTTTGGAAACCCCACCCCTGAAGTTCAATGGAACAAATCTCCCTCGTCCCCTCTCCCTCTGGGACGTAGTGAGGTAAAAAAAGACGGGCTTTATATTAACAACACTAAGAAAGAGGACGAGGGCATTTACACGTGTCTTGCGACGAATGAATATGGTATGGTCATCCATGGAACATATCTCATAGTCAAGGCAGTGGGTAAGTGTAAGAACATAGAAAATTAACTACAAAAGACCGTAAACGAATATGCCGCAGAACGAAGTATCTTCAGAAGAACTGATCAGCAAAAGTCTACAAAGTTGGACTACGAATGTTCTTTAATAATTTCTCAAGTACTAAAGCCAATACTTCGGTCCTGTGGCTACCACATGGAAGTCATCTAAACCTTTCATGAAATATTTTTATTATTATTATAATAATAATGATTACTGTTCCATCATTATGAGTATTACCATCGTTATTTTCGCGTTCGATACCATTATCATTATCGTGATCGTTAACGTTTTCACTATTATTCAAAACACTGCCTGTCCTCTTCAAGCCACAAGTCAGGTCTTTGCTTTGTTTCTAATCGGGTCGCAAGAACATGGTAGAGAAAGAGGCCACTTGGTGAATGTCCTATACCGTGATATTTATTTATTTACATGCCATGGTCAGGTCTTTCATTCGACAACATACCAATAAGCTCTTTGCACCTGGTCATTCATGTGGTACTAAACTGCTTGCAGTCCGTCCACCTCTTAGGCTGAATTTCATCCCATTACTTCAAGTCGTTATTACTCCCTCAGTAACGTCTGAATCGACCGGCCGTTAATGCCGTCCAGTGACGTCACTACTCCTTTGCTTTTATTCATGCAAAAAGTTAAACACCATTTTTAAGTGGCAAACCAAGAAATATCGTTTGGAAATGTCTGCATGATACAGAATGGCTTTACTTTTTCGATCGTAATTCATGTTTAGCGTTCAAACTATCAACTGCACGCAGTACTCTGAACCGGTTGTAATTCCATAATCAAACTTGGTCGCAATCACGCAATGAAATGATACACACACCGAACACCTAGTTCAAAAACACAATGATTTGCTCTAATTGAAAAGAAGCCACCTAGTCCATAACGAAGAAAAAAGAAAACAAGGAAACAAGAAAGAAAAGCTAACAGAATCATTACAACTGACAGTGAAAATAACTAGAAGGTCGAATTACAACATTGGTCTCATGGAACTTCGCATCAACCAAATCACTGCCGAAACCACAAAAAGGTTCTAAATGAAAAACCTACCGACTCTCCGCAATGATTCTTCATTCGCAGTTCAATTTCACATTTCAGTTTCGAAGATGAGGGCAACTTTGCTGTTTACGATAAAGATTGTCGAAATGTTTGAAGTCCACTAAAACATACCAGGGATGTGATCTGCTGATCGAATTATCAAGCGACAATACCGCTAAAACTTCTCCTAATTATGCATAATTATGCGGATGTTTAGACAATCAACCAATCAGAATCACTACCCGGTTTTCGGGTAGTGATGACGTCATTGGACGGCATTAAAGGCTGGTCGATTCAGACGTTGCTGAGAGGAGAAAACGACTCGAAGCAATCGGATGAAATTTAGGCTATCCACCTCTCAAAATCCGTATAGTTCTTCTCCCAGTCAGCGAGATTGTAAACGTTCCCGTTTATCGCGGCTCGAGTGCATGGTTTACGTGTGGAGTAGCTTAACTTTGCAAAGCCAAAAAAGAGACTGCCCGCTGTGCACATGGCACAAACTTCCATGCTGGAGACGCACTGGGACCACGTGAATGACTAGCTGCAAAGGGCCTATTTGACCACTGACGAAGTAAACCAGACTTTTATTTAATCTTCATTCAGAACCACCAGTGTTTACAGTAACACCTCCTGAAGCAGTCAATATATCCGGTGTAGAGGAACCAGTCAGAATCAACTGCTCAGCTACAGGCTCCCCTTTACCCAAAATCACGTGGTACAAGTACAACATTACCTTACCAGCGAACATTTACATCAACGATGACGAAGTAACTAGCGAGCTCGTGATTGGTCAGCCTAAGCCTTCGCTCCAGAACACATATACATGCGTTGCTCGTAACTTGTATAACGACGAAGTAAAGACAACTACAAAGATAGGTGAGACGTACTTTGAAATGTAAGCGGGATACCTTACGAGAAGATGCCCTTTGATTCCTGCTGATTCCTCCAGGGGATTAACAAGGCGAGTTAACAAGGAGATCGCAAGTGAGACCTCTAGTTACTTGCGGGTTTAATTTAAGAGACGGCAGTCATTTGAGACTAAATATGAAAACAAGTCCACTCGCTTTTGCGCTGCATTTGTGTATGTAATAAGACTTCATTTTGCCTGTCCAATTTAGAAATAATTGGATGTAAAAATTAAAAAAATTCCGAGGACAACCACGGCTTTTCACACTTTGCCATTTTCTTATCAATTATAACTTTTTTAAAAAAAGCGCTTTCTGAGTGATAATGACATACACAGCAACAAGAAGCCGATAGCGTTCGCCGACGAATCGCCGTCAGCTAACAAAACTTTTTAGGCGTGTTGACAGATTGCTGTCCTATTTTTCTTAAACTGGACAGTTTGCCTATTTCTAAAAGAGAGTCCTATCTCAAACTGTCCAAAATTAATCGTTAATTAAACAGCGTTTAAAACATCAAAAGAGTATAGCTTTGCTGACAATATCAGATTAACTACCAGCTGTATAATTGATTTTTTTTAACATCATAATACCTGTACTAAGAAGTTAAATGAAGAACACCGATTTCATACATACCATGACATTTTGATTCAATCTTAAATTAGTTACCCGCAAGGAGTAAATTTCCGGGAGCATTTTGGAGAAATGTATTACCACGAGCTGATGAATTTTTGGTATTTATAACTCACGTCTTGAATGCTACAACCATCCAGCCTTTCCTTTCTGTTTTTCAGTTTTACGCGCCTGCGGTGACCCAGGAAAACCAGATAATGCAATTATTGTCAGCCAGAGCAAGAATTACTGGACAGGACAGTATGTCAGATACCTCTGTAATCCGGGTTATGCCATGGTTGGTCCTGCTGTCAGAAGATGCTTGGTCAGCGGCAAATGGAGTGGAAATGTACCAATATGTAAGAGTTAGGTCGTTAAGAAAGTGTGGTGGCGTATGCTACCTTAAGGTATTAATAGGCAATTTCAGAGATCCAGAAACTCTCACTTTCAAAACGAGGCTAAAAGCAAAACGTTTCATCTAAAAATGAGTTTTACACATCATTTTCTTATCCATGGCCTCGCACTTAGTCTCGCTTTGAAGCAGACGCTTGGGGCAACTCGTATTATGGCTTATTATGCCGGGAATATATTTTTCCTTTCCCTACCACTGAGGACCGATAAAAGTTCTTAAAAGTGACTTAGTATTTAAAAAAAATCAATTCGCTTCACCGACACTTTATTTTGTTGTCCTTTGTTTGTTTGTTTGTTTGTTTGTTTGTTTGTTTCCAGGTACAGAAAAACCTGAATGCGAGCCTTACTGGACCATAGACGACAACACCAGACGAAAAAGCTTCACGGCGTCCCGGACCAATAGAAATGACTACTATTTGGCTGAAGGATGGTACAGGTTTATATCAGGCAAACAAATGTCCACAAGTTGTACTTATGTATCCGGCTATTGCGATACTTCATATGCTGGATGGTTACAGGGAAGCCATCCGTCAGTTAAGGATGGGGTGGTCTCTAGAAAAGTATGTTTTGGCTATGCTGGTGGTTATAGTCGTAACTGTTGTCGTTATAGTACATATATAAAGATGCGCAACTGTGGTTCTTTCTTCGTCTACAAACTGAAACCCACACCAAATTCTAACTGTCGTTATTGTACTGAATACTAACAGAGTCAACTTACCAAGCAGCATACTTAGATAATTATAGAGGATATTACATGGCCGCGCAGAGATACGAAATGTCTCTTCAAGTGTGGAATACGAGAAGAAAGAGGTGGTGTTTTAAGGCGGCTATACATTGTTCTATTCATTACATAAACACCAATGAAATACCAAACCATTTCACTTGAATATTTTTCTTTGGCTACCGGCGAAAGACGCGATTTATCGTGTAACCATAGCAACGACGGAGATCTTTTCACGTGTGAAGGTGTCATATTTTCGCGGGAAGGCTCACCTGGTATATCATTGGTGTTTAAATAATAAAAGGTATTATCAATCACTAAGGAAAACTCAATCCTTTCAATTTTATAACGGCTTAAGTAGCATATCCGAAGTACCCACAACTCTCTTCTAACATACAATAGCCTCATGGTAATCCGAACCCACTGTAACTCCAATCCTACCCAAAAACTCGAACCAAAATTGATTTTCCCTGGACTTGCTTATAGTAGATCTACCACACTTCGACCCTCGATAACTCAAACCTTCTGCTGTTTCTCTTGCCTTTTTCTTGTTAAGAGGAAATGTCCACTAAGATCGAGCCGAATCGAAAATTCGTGGCACATGATGAAAAATCAAAATTCCTGATATTTCGTCCAGAGATACCCTTGATCGCCTAAGAAACGTGGTGGCATTTTTTTTTTTGAAATATTTTTTTGAACACCACGAAAAATAATAATAATAATAATAATAATAATAATAATAATAATAATAATAATAATAATAAAAAGGTAAGGGCCCCACGTGGCGTGAAAAACGCCAAAAATTGACGTAACACATTGCCCTAAACGATAATTTTTTTGTCGACACCGTTCACAAATCGTGTCCGTTTTAAATTCATGTCACGGAATAGAAAGGTCACACCTTATTCTGTGTGCGATTAGGATCATTTTGATTCCTGAACCTGGTTATGGCAGCGTGGTACTCGGGCTGAAAATTAAACTAATTTAATAAAATCCAACTAGTGGTTTATTATCAATGCTGCGTTCTCATTGGCTGAGCTACTACTAGGCTAATTATATTATAGTAGCAATATTAGCACCGGCTTTGAAAACCAAAACAATGGCGGCTGAATCACGTTTTGCTAGCTAAAGTTGTTTTGCCTCGATATTTTTGACCAACTAGTTAGATTTTACTGATAGAAACAATTGTCCCTCTCGCCCTCATGGCCTCTCAGTAGCCTCTGGATAGGTAATTCGGCCTTCGGCCTCAATGGGCTATTGACTCTATAAGAGCGCATTATTCGGGCCCGGGGAATAAATAGACCTTTGGATGTGTAAAAACCTATGGAAACTTAATCACGACTAAACTGAACTTGTCGTCATTAGCTCCAAATTTCGAAATAGACCAAATCTTGAATATGTTCGGGTTAGAGATGAGTTCATTGCTCCAATAAGTTGTCTGTACGTAAGCTAGGAGTCATCATGGACAATTGTTTTTGCATTGAACAACATGTAAAAAAGATATGTAGTGAGGTAATTTATCATCTCAGGAATATATCAAAGATTCACAAATATCTCACCCAGGACTCTGCTCAAAATTCTCATCCATGCTTTTATTAGTTCTAAGCATGCGGACTACCGTAACTTACTTCTATATGGTATTCCAAAATACTTAGTTTGTAGATTACAGCGTGTTCAGGAATACGGCTGCCGCAGCTCGCATTGTTTCGTTGACAAGGAAGTATGATTCGATTACCCCAATATTGTTCAAGCTACACTCAGTCTGTCTCCCCGTACATTCACGTATTATTTTGAAGTTCCTATTATTAGTCTATAAAGCACTCAATGGCAGAGCACCCTCTTATATTAGAGAACTTTAGATTCTAAGACGAGTACGACAACGAGTACGAGATTTTCTCAATACTAAGTTGTACTCGCGCGTTAACCAGCGTCATTTTGGCGGGAAAACGTGGTAGCCGTCGTCACTCCACTACGAGTTTTAGCGAGAATGTCGAGGTGGCGAAAACAAGTTATCAAATGTTAGAAGTTTTATCATTTTGCGATCGCGAGAGGGTGTTAGCTCCTTCACTAAAAGTAACAGTGCTAACTTTTCCAGTGAAAAATGGAAAAATGAAGCTTCCCGGGGAGTCTATATTTTGAGAATACGCGAAAAAACTTCAAGTCAAATCTTATACTCGTAGTCGTCGTTGTCTTTGAATCTAAAGGTCTCTATTTCTAGTCTCCTGAGCCATCGTAGGTGCTCTCGGTCTTTACGCTCCAGTGGGCAAGAACTGCTCACTGTGCCACTGGCTAAACCAAAGACTTAATTGAATGTGGAGATCGGGCGTTCAGCATTGCTGCGCCAAGGCAATGGAATAACTTGCCTCTTTAATACCAGTCGCCGTAAATCTTCATCAATCGCTATTTTCAAAAGACATTTAAAGACTTATCTTTTTAAACAAGCCTATGATTTTTAACGTCTTTTTTTAATACACGTTTTTTTTATTTCTTTCATTATTTGTAATTTTATATTAGTATTTTTAGATTTTAGTTTTTAACTTTCGTTTCTTGTATAATGTATGAATTATATATTTTTAAGCTTTGTAACTAACTTATCTCGGTTTTTTTATTCTATTTTTTAGCTTATAGGGTTCTACGATAACATAATCATTGTAAAGCGCTACGAAAGAGTAGGTGAATAGCGCTATATAAATTATTATTTTTTTTTAGTTGCTTTTTAATTGTTAAGTATCCAAACATGGAAAAACAATCAAATAAACAAAAACAAAACATAACAATACATAATACTTGAAGAAAAAAGCGAAATCCTTGGTTGAGTTTACCATTGATCAACAGTTAAATGAAGCTCCTCAAGCAAGGCTTTTTACAGATAACTTTGACTTTGGCTAGTCTGCTTGTGGTCCATTTACAATTTACGAAGTATACGCTCATGAACCCTCCTCCACTGATACGAATTTGAGATAGACAGCAGCACCAGGGACTATACGTTGGCTTTGCGAACAGTGTGTGGGGTCTGGAACGTCCCACATGCATGATAGGGATATGAGACGAGCCAACGGTTTAATCCGAGAGAGGGGTTAATGTCCTAAATCGAGATCATTCTAGAACGTTTAACCGTTTGCAGATGTCATCTTAAAGGCAGCACTTTCTCCTCAGTTTTTCATAGACCCAAGTTATTGGTCCGTCCCGGATTTAAACCCGTGGCCTTCCGCTCGGTGGATACGGGCACTTATCCAACTGAGCTAACCGGGCGGCGGCCTAACTGTTAAACCTGAGATGACAAAAGGCGAAAGAAAGAGCAAATGTGATCTTTTTAACTGCTCACTGCATTGTCAAGAAGTTATACAGCTGTTGGAATGCCAATCCACATAGCAGATTGTAAGCGTCAATAACAACCTTAGTCTAACTGGTGATGCACACCTTCCGGACTGACATGGCTACCTCCCTGCAACGGGTCTTTTTGGGACATCATTGCAATGCAGTTCTTTCATTAAGTGCAGGTTGACTTGGTATGTCATCACATTGCCCAGACTTGTCCTTCAATGCTCCTACCCGTCCGCAACTCTCCGTGTTTCTGGCACTTAATAATGGTTTCTCAGCAGCCTCTGTAAGGACTTTACAATACGATAACGACGACAACTGTGAAAACGCCACTGAGTAATAGCTGACTTGACATCCTTTTGAACTTGTACGCTGTTCATCCATTTAACCGTTACACAATTGAGTTAGATCAGGAGCTCAATAGGCTCCTTGTTAGATTTGAAAAGAAGGGACCCCGTTGAAGCTCTCCTCTTGCTGTTTATGTTCTCTTAAAAACTAAAACTTTGGTCAGTTTCACTTCTTAGTTGACGGAGAACAGCAAGGAAACTTACAGAAAAGCGTAAACTTGACTAAGGCCTCCCGTCGACGCCTTCACAGTTTCGCAAGGTCCGTAATAATAGGGCTAAAGTCATGCCAACGTATACGCAAGCAACGATGGACAGATCACCGGATCGGGGTGGGGAAAGTACCCTCTAATCTGGTAATTCTGGGTATTCTGTTTTTTTTTTTGTTTTTTTGTTTTTTCTTTTTTTTGTATCCAACTGCGTTATGCCCCTGCCGAACTATGGCCTTTTTTTAGAGGTAAAGATCGAAGAGAGTCTATTAGTAGGTAAAATCGTCAAAATAAACTTAAAACTCCTAAGGGTTAAAAAAGAGGCAATAGCCTATGCGGAATGGATAGAAAATTTAATAACTTTCAAGTGGGAACCTAAATTGAACCATATCCGACAGGCAAATGGAAATACAATCTGAAACTGCAGAGAGCATGCACGTGACCACTATGTCATACGGTGGCTTGGACCTTGAAACATTTTCTATATTGCATGATACAATTGCACTTGCATGAGGTCTGAGAGAATATTGCCAGTAACAGTTCTAGATTATTGGGTGTTTCTTGATGTTGCGAAAAGAAATGTTGGTTCGCTTTTTTTGTTTTTGTTCGTTTGTTTTTGTGTTTTCAATCTTTTGTATTACGTCATTTGGTGCCGATTGCACCAGTTAACAACACCACGAAACTACCAGATCATTACTGACAGAACTTAAGCACAGCGTCACTTCTAAAAAAACATCTGATGTCAAATGAAGTGCATAGCTGTCTTTTGTAAAGAATTCTCTATTGTTTCAGTTATACGCGACGGTAAAAACCGAATCTTTTGCTAAAACGATTAAGGGCTGTATAATACGTATAATACTCCACGATCAAGTATAATCCGTTTTTGCATGCGAAGGAATGAAACGTTTTCGAAAACTGCAGCTCAAGCCAAGAAATGCAGGGACAAGTTTTTTCGTGTTATCCGAAAAATGCTACGTAATTTAAACTATTTTTCTAGGAGGCTTTTCCCGATAGCAAGGAAGAGCCTAGAACTGCAAAGCCCATGCTATCAAATGGCAAAAAGATTAAATAGCAACTGAGATCAAAGTATCCCGATCCATCAATTCCACGAGCAGAGGAAATCTAAGAGAGTTGGCCCTAAAGTTCATATTCTAGTAAAATAATCCTTAAAAAATAAATCATAAAAAAATAAAATAAAAAAACCGAGCGGTTAATTAAACGAAAGCCGACCTGACCTCACAAGGAACAGTTTTAAAGTAACTTTTTTCTGAAAATTTAGAATAAAGGGTAAAAATGTCGCTTAAAAATAACTACTTCTATTGGTAGCGAATTGAAAAATTGAATCCTTGGTAGTTTGGATGATATAAAAGTTGGACTGAAAATCTCAATCAGGTGCAGCCATTTACCACTTGATGAACAAGACTAAGAAAAACTTCTAGGATTTCATTACGCTGTCATTTTAATACATTAAGCAGGTTCTAATGCCGTCGCTAGTCGATCTCACTGGTGCAAGTATGGCGTCAGGTCGCGATTCACCGAACCTCTCCACTATTGTGTCAGGCCTTCATCTGATTTTTACACTCACATCAGTCGCTTTTTTCACGTACAAAGTTTATTTCTTGGAGAATGAACTGTCCTTAATTAGAAGAGAAGTGCCTTTTCGTACAGCCCAAGAGTCAACTGTCGACAAAGCAACTCCACCTAGCATAGTTCAAAGCCGCGAAGAGCAAAGAAGTGGACGGAACGGCCGAGCCGGAAAGAGGAAATCGGAATCGTCATCAGCAACCGACATGCTCAAAGCAGTATGTGTCCAGAAATTGCTCAACAATCTTCAGGTTTGTAACGTATCTCTGTTTTGAACACTTGACTGAGACAGCCAAAGAGAATCCAAATCGCGAACGAAGGTTCATTAATTGCCGGACGTCACTTTATATAACAAATATCCATTCTCTGAATCATTTATTTTATCTTGTGTTGACTACCTATAAATATACCTTAGTTAAATTCACGCAATATGTTAGGCGATCATAAATTAATGATTGAATCTGTTATCGACCGACAGTACGGTGAGGAATTTGACCCAAAATGAGCCGGAAGGTCGCTTCAAAAGGCTGGTCGGCGTCGCGCAAACAAAAGGATTTCGTGATTACCGCATTCAGCATATGGACTGCGTTCACAGGTCTTTCCACCTATTTATTTACTGCTTTGTTGGCGGAGCCTTTGAAAAAATGAGGGCTCTCTGGATTGAACACTTTTATTGAAATGAACAAACCTCCGTAAGATAGCTTACTGATCATCGCGAGACTTAAGATATTTCGGTCGTGTTTAGTAGCTCTAGGATATTTTAACATTTGAATAAACGGCTTTCGAGGCATGGCAAAATTGTTGAAAAGTCGCCAGCGGTGGGGGACTTGACGTGTTATGTAGCGCTAGCCACAACCTTCTCCTCTCCTCGGCAAATGTCTTTCCTCTAGTTAGTGTTTGATAAAGGAGATGGTATAATTTTAAAGGTGATACTTTTGGAGGATTGATTCGGGAATAGAGAGCTGACCCAGTTTGACATTAAGATTTAAAAGTACCTTTACAGAATCCTATTTCTTGTTTTTTCCTTTTACAATTAAAGGTTGCTGATGACGTGGTTAATGGAACTGGAAAAGTCGTCTGTATGAAAGGTCAGTGTGTCATAACAAGCTTAATATAGAGTACTCTCTTGGTTCAATATCATGTTTTTTTCCCAGTTCGGCTATTTAACAATTACTTTGAGCTACTTTGCTTAGTTGATCGAATGACGTACTGGCTTAAGCTTAGTCTTAACTGATTGATTTATTGGATATGCCCAAAATTTCCATTACAAAAAAGGCAAATAACATTAGCATATACACCGTATTCTCAAATGGCGGACACGCGGGAAAAAACTGGTGCCTAGTCATGAAAGCGAGGCGTTGGAGGATAAACAAAAATTGCAAATGAAGACTTTCAGTGAACTTGCAGAGTGTTTAGCACGGATTCCACCTAAAATAACTTTTTACGGACTTCTTTTTAAATACAATTACGTGGGATGTCTTCTGCTTTTAATGTTTAGTAGCTATTTGCTGTTTGCAATCAAAAGGGACGCGTATATCTTCAGGAAACAGGATGATTTTGTAGGTTTCCGAAGCATCGATCAGAAGCTCGAAGAGTAGGCGATCGCTGGAGAAAAGCGGCAAACATGTTGGCCCAAACTTCACACTGAAACCGAATACGAAAGCCGGATCACTACAATTCTGTATTGGATTAGATTAATTCCGTCGCTTTGGAGGAAATTGTTAGAGGTACGTTGGCAGAGCTTAGCAAACATCTCATGATTTCTTTGTCATTGCGAAACAATTAAAAATAATTTTATCAAAATTAGAAGCTGTAGTGTGTGAATCTTATGGCTTGCTATTTGCCTGGTTTCTTTTAGGGCATTATCTCAGAGAGCTCTTGGTAAAAAAGTGGTATAAAGCTTACATTTTACTAGGTTAAAATTTTAAGGCAATGTTTTTGTCAGGACTGAACACGGCAAGCTTCTGTTTCGAATAATTGAATTCGAGTCTGGATCAGTTTAAGAAGACCATCATTTTATTTATTTATGTATTCTTCAACTTTAAAATATTATGAAACATAAAGTTAAAACTCTTAACAGCTAAAGGTAAGAAATACGAAATTACTCGCTGAAATGATATGTGGCCGGCTTACCGAGTCTGCCGAGTAACAAGTTGAAATTTTGAGCGTACTCCTCTCGATCGCTTCCGCACATTAAAAATAAATTACCGAAAAACCGCTTAAAAAAAAGGTCAACCCCGCTGTCTAATTGATGTTCTTCATTGATAAAGACCAGAGAATAACGTCCTGGCAAACAAAAACCAAACATAACTTCATCGAAACCTCAGTCACCTCTTCTTTCCTGTCTTCCTTTTTTCCATCTCGACTTGAACTGTTTTGTTCAACGGCAGACGTCTCTTGCGTTAACAGTTGCAAGTAGGCCATACATCTGTCGCTTATTTCCTTTTTTCTTGCCACCAAGATTTGTTTATATTTCTGTTTCACCGAATTGCAGTGAGCTGGCTTTCGTACTCGGTTTCAAAGTGAAGTTTGGGTCAACATGTTTGCCGCTTTTCTCCAGCCATCGTCCACTTGTCAAGCTTCTGATGCTTCGGAAACCTACAAAATCATTCTGTTTCCTCGAAGATTTACGCGTCCCTTTTGATTGCAAACAGCAAATCGCTACTAAACATTAAAAGCAGAAGACATTCCACGTAATTGTATTTATAAAGAAGTCCGTAGAAAGTTATTTTAGGTGGAATCCGTGCTAAACACTCTGCAAGTTCACTGAAAGTCTTCATTTGCAATTTTTGTTTATCCTCCAACGCCTCGCTTTCATGACTAGGCACCAGTTTTTTCACGCGTGTCCGCCATTTGTGAATACGGTGTATAGAGAAAGAAAATAAGTATCATATGTTACTAAAAAGTAAAAGAAACATGACTTCATACCAGTCAATAGGTGCAGTACGTTGTGTAGCATCATGTTATTGTAATGCAAAAAAAGTCCCGACACCATGGTATAAAACTATATAGGCAAGGCATAATCGACCTTTTTTCTTTTTTTACGACGAGCAAAAGTAGTTTAGGGTAAAACGAGTTGAAATCTTCGGCAACCAGTCTGATTAGATTTGATTGTAAATTGGCATAGCGAGATGTTCGCTGGGCAGATATTAATTACCAATTTTATGACGAGTCGAGTATGAACAGTGCAATCCGTGATATTCTAAGACGTTTTTCGTAGCTTTCTTGATTGATCTGACTTCTTGTGTTATGATTGCAAAACGACGTTTGAGTACTGAGCGCACTGATAAAAACATATGGTGTTACGCGTGCTTTTTTTTTTCGTGAGGCTTAATGATCCCGGGAAATCAAGAGGTTAATTAGATTTCGTTTATGTTCCATTTTTTTACTTAACCTATAGTTTAAACTACAACCCTCGTCAAACTCTTGGAACAATAACGCCGTAGCTCGTCAAATGGAGGCATCTTTCCTCCCCCTTTTTTCCCCGGTGCAGAGTGTTGACGTTATACAATCAAGTTTTTAATTGCACATAATCAACACTGCTTGGGGAAGAGAGGGACAGCGGAAATAGCAGAGGTAGAATATGTCTGAGTTAATTTAGCAAAGTGCGTCTTTGTGTCTAATTTCCTCAGCCGGTACATTCGGTGCGCTCGGTACAGTCGGTACAGCCGGTACAGCATGCACTCTCGGTACAGCCGGAACCGACTCTGACTTGGTACAAATGGGTACGGCCGGTCTTTTCTATTGCTGACAATAGCTGTTGTCGAAGGAGGATTCTTTGACATCCACTTTACTTCATAGTTATCAAGGCATACAACACCTGTTCTGATGACATTGAATATACGCACAAGGCATAATAAACTAAAACTGAGGAAGAGGGTCCAAAATATGGTTGGCTTTACAAAACTAATGAAATATAGTCTCATCTTGATGGAAAATACTAACAAACGCATACATGATAATTTCTCCATTAAAAAATCCTAGTCCTCTCGCGAGCTGGCCAATCAGAGAGCCGCTTTGGATAGGTGGAGGACGACCACAAGTGCCCCAAGATTTTTTCACAAGTGTTGTATAGCTACCGAATGGGTGTGAAAAACATGTGTGTTGTTGTCAATATATTTTATTTATTTTATTTTCGAGGGAAGGAGAGGGGGAGGAGGTTGTGCAATTTCTCCCGTGTATTTTTTATTTTTTATTTATTTCGCAACAAAACCCTTTGCAGGAGTTTTTTTTTTTAATATCTATGTTGATATCCACGTCAGTCCTTTTTATCACAGCCCAAGCACTATAAGTGTATAATACTTTGTAATTATGAAGTCCGACAGTCATCGACATTCGTACCTCTTGCAACACTTGTTGTACAGTCGAACCTCCATGTGCGACCACTTATCCAAAACACCAAAAACATTTTTCCTAGTCAAAGCTTTACAGGTGGAACCTTTAGCAACGCACCTCCTGTAAGCGACCGCGACCACTTTTAGGGCCTGACGATTAATGATTTTCCATGAGCATTGTTTTTTAAACTCTAACGTGTGAGCGACCACTTGACACACTCTGATCTCTATTTTTCGCTGTGTGCACTGTGTTACTTAGAACATACAAGTTAGTGAAAACATGAAACTACACATATCCTAACTTAGATATTGGATGCAGTCTTTGCATTTTGGGCCAGGGTTGCTTTAATACGAGAGGTTCGACTGTATTTTAAAACCATCGTAAAACATTATAGAGCCATTCAAAACGTGCTCCAAACTTTCCAGTAGTTCTAGTTAGCCAAGCCACTGTTACTCTACATTAACATTAGAACCACTGGCTTTCTATATACACTTCTCAATTAAAATCTTTTGAAACAAGGCTTGAAATAACGAACCAGTTAGGCACCATGTACATTTTCAGGTCGAACGCATGTTTGCACTAAGAGCATTTTCAGGTCGAACGCATGTTTGCACTAAGAGCCATTTTTTCATTACTCTTCTTGTAACCAGTTTATCACAAACATTTTCCAATGCCGATCACTTGCTCAAAAAGAAAAAACAAAAGCAAAAAACAAAAGCGAACATCACATTTCCAAAAACTACGCGGTTCTCGTCGCATTTGAACATGCCTTCCAATTTTCTCAAGAACTCTCTTTGTCTCGGTTTATTTCTTGCTTCAAAATTAACTTGAAAACAGCTCCTGCTAAAGTTTTTTCGAGGCCCTCACTTGCTTAATGCAAAATAATCCTGCAAAAACTTTCGAAAACGGGCATCATGTTGAACAAACAAAAAGAAACAATCTTCCACTGACGTCATCCTTGTGTCCACACGGCTAATAGATCATAGGCAACGACCAATCACAGTGCGTTAAATATTCCCCAACACATTGGACAAAAGAATTTATTGATTAGAGAAAGCTGCATTAGTCTCTGTATCTCGCTACCAGAGTTCTTACAGGTGTGGTAGAACTGGCAACTACTAGTAAGTGAGAAGCTGTCCAAAACAAACGTTCATATCAAATCTATATATCTAAATACAATGTGCTGCAGGTCCGCAGGGTCTCCCCGGACAACCAGGCTCGCCTGGTCTGCCAGGACCTCCAGGTCAACCAGGATCTCCAGGTTCACGAGGAAAAACGGGAGCACAGGGACCCCGTGGTCGCCGAGGTCGTCCAGGAACACCCGGAAAAAACGGCCCTCCTGGTAGAAAGGGTCCTCGAGGAAAACCAGGGAAGACCCTCGATGTCAATGTCACTGAGCTTCAAAACCTTGCAGAACAATTACAGACGTCTGCTCAAGGAGATATAGCAATGTTTGGTGAGTAAAACACTGAGCTAAATGTATTTTACCAGAACATATTGCACATGATTTGTCTCTTCATCTTTGCTGTCATTACTTTTTATATTCCATTTTCACACGAAAAAAAATATGATATGTTAGTAGAACTCGTTGTGATTGATTTGATGTGATTAATCAACAGCTCCTCCTAGGTTTACAAGGAAACCCCCACCACTTATCTTCATAAAGGAGGGTGGTAATCTGACTCTAAGCATTTCCGTATCCGGCAATCCACAACCTAAAATTACCTGGTCTGTACGCCAGAAGACCCAAGGAAACAAAAGACGAGTCAAGAGTACAGAAAACAAGTTTGAGATTAAAAATGTTCGGTTTGAAGATGAAGGAGTGATCACGTACCGTGCGGAAAATGTGTTCGGTGCTCAAGAAAATGAAATAGAGCTCACTGTATTAGGTGAGTAGAAAGTTCTAGAATAGCCTAAGTGACCGTTAACTCATCCAACAACAAATAGATAAGACAAGACAAGACAATGTTTTATTTGGAGTCTTATACAGTCCTATGTATATCGACTTTATCCAAATAATTTAAAATCATGACACAAATTGCACACTAGTGGAACTATAATCAATGTTAACCTAAACAACTAATGATCTTTTCCCATAGCAGTCGAATACGTATTTTACAATTAACTTTTGCACTGGTTTGTTCTTGCTCGGAGGGTTAACAACAGAAAAACATAATCTGGTGCTATTCTGTTTACTGATATTCTGTATTCTTTGTTTAAGTATTCAAATAAAGTACTTCTTTTTTTTTTTGATACGCAGGGCACAGGTTAAAAAGTGTATTTCATCTTCTACGTCTTTTTTACAGATAGGACAGATCCTCTCTTCTGGTTTCTCATAAGGTCTTACATACCGACCTGTCTCTATCGCCAATTTGTGATTACTTAGACGGAGTTTAGTTAGGGTTATCCGGTGTTGGACGTTGGTGATCTGACGGAGATAATCTTCACATTTATAATTTTCTATTGTTTTAAATTTTCGAAAGGTTCTTAGTTTGTTCTTTTGGTTGGCGTCTTTTCTTACGTCATTGTTTACGTCACTTAACCATCTTTGTAATTCGATGTCTTTCAGTCTTTGTTTGATAATGTTCAAGATTCCTATGTCATTTTCATGTGCTTTTCTCCAGAGGTATCCCAGCCCTATTTGGTCTAATACGCGTTTGATTTTTTGGCTCCATAATTCCTTATTCATTCTCGACGTCATATCATTATAAACCACCTGTGATAATTTGTGTTTTGGGTGTTTGGTTAGAGTTAGCCAAAACTTAAAATTCCTATATTGTGCTTCGATCTTCATTGGGAATCTTCCTGTTTCAGCCCTACATGCATTGTTGCTGNGCGGGGGGGGGGGGTGGAGAGGGAAATAAAAAAATCCTTACATAGAGTTGTATTATGCAGTGTTCCCTGTCATCAAAGGAAAGCTGAGCTCTTGCCTCTCCTTTGATCACTTAAAAATTGTGACCAACCCTCATGGAAAGCGTTAGCTAGGTCACACGCGTAACAATCTTTACATAGCGAAAAAAAAAGTAAATTAAAGATAAAGGAACAGTGCAACAATTTTTTCCCAGGCAAAGCTTTACAGCTGGAACCTTTAGTAAACCACCTCCTGTAACCGACCGCGACCATTTTTAGGGCCTGATGATTAATAATTTTCCATTGTTTTTAACCTCTAACTTGTAATTAAAACACCGACCACTTGACACATTCTCTGATCTCTATTTTCGCTCTATGTACTATTTTACTTATAATATACAAAGAACGTTGGTGACAACATGGAACTACACATATCCTAACTTATACATTGCGTGCGATAAATTATCTTCAATAAAGTATATAGATGTGCCTGGACCTCTTGTCGGAAGATAAACCCCTGTGGTTCGATTCTTGTAAACGACGATCACATCCCGTAAGCGACCACTCGCAGTCTTTTCATTTTGGGTGGTCGCTTACGAGAGGTTCCACTGTATTTTAAAACCATTTTAAAATATTAGAGAGCCATTCAAAATGTACTCCAAACTTTCCACAACTTGTAATTAGCCAACCCACTGTTACTCTACATTGGAAAAACTGGTTTTCTTTATATACATTCTCGATTAAAATCTTCTGAAACAAGGCTTGAAATAACTAACTAGTAAGACGCCATGGACATTTTCAGGTCGAACGCATTTTTTGCACCAACAGCCATTTTTCGGCAGTCAGATATTGTTAATTAAAATGATATTTAACGAATGTTGAGGAACCTTTAACAGGACAATTCTTATATCTCAGGTGCGAATAAACATTTTGCAACACTAAAAACTTTCAAATAAAACTAATAGTAGTGCTTCCTGCCACCAAAAGAAAGCTGAGCTTTTAATGCCCCTCCTTTGGTCAGTTAAACATTGTGACCAACACGACTGGGAAGCGGTAGCTTTGTCACGCGCATACCAATCTTGACATAGCGAAAAAAAATTGTAAATTAGAGATTTAGGGACAGTACAATAATTATCAGAACGGAACTTCTGAAATTGCAAAAGAGGGCAAACAGTTAACTTCACCCCCTCCCCTCCCCCTTGTACAAAGGATGAAATAACTTCTTAACCCTCTCTCTGTTAAAGCAACTTTTGAACGCTTTCTTCAATGCAACAATTCTGACAAGTTGTTGACACCAAGTAATATTTTTGTGCGGCTAAGAATCATGTTGTTCCGAAGATGTACAGGCTGAAATTAATAGTTTATTGAAGTAACTTATAGCAGCTTTCTAAAACCTTTCATCAGCTTATTACAAAGGAAAAGGCAGATTTCACAGATTAATTTAGTAATGTTCCTAAGTCTCCAAAATCACAACTGAAGTTTGTTGCACTCCACCATTCTTGTTACTGAGTTTAATTTTCTTCACAGGTGCCCCGAGGTTTCCAAAATCTCCTCCTGGACCAGCAACTGGTTTCTTGGGTAAAGAGACAAAATTGCTTTGTGACCTTCTAGGAAATCCAACTCCTGAAGTTAAATGGACCAGATCTCCCCCAGCTCCTCTCCCTCAGGGACGCAGTGAAGTAAGAAAAGACGGCCTTTACATTACCAACACCAAGCTTGAGGACGGGGGGGTATACACGTGTATTGCGACCAACGAATATGGCATGGAAATTCATGGGACATTCCTCAACGTCAAGGCAGTCGGTAAGTGGCAAACTTGACCACATCAAAAACCTGACGTGATGTTTACCACTAAGTTGTAATTCTACTTTGGAACAGAAATCGTATGGCACTTTTGCATGCCACCGGAGAACACACAGTCTGAACAGTCCATGAATTTAAGAAACCGAGATAGGTTAGCATCTACGTACTCATAAGAATGCAGCTGATCCAAGCTAGTTTTGGCGACAATAATCAGTACATGAACAGTCTGAACTTCGAGCCCAGAGATTTCCAACAAAGAATTGATTAATGAAAAGGCATTAGCACGAATAATAACTTAAACTTCAGTTCTCTTTACCATATCTCTCCTCAGAACCACCTGTATTCACCTCAGTACCCCAAGCTTTGGTCAATGTATCGAGAACCGACGAAGCGATCCGAGTCAGCTGTTCCGCTACGGGGTCACCTCTTCCTAAAATCACGTGGTACAAGAACAACGTTACACTTATACGCTCCCCCAATAACGTCACCAAAGACGAAGTTACCAGCGAGCTCGTGATTGATCAGTTTCAGACTTCTATTCAGACACAGTATACATGTGTTGCTCGAAACGAGTATAACGATGAAGTGACGGCAAGTACCAAGTTAGGTAGGGCGCACGTGCTCCTAAAGCTCTTTTCTTTTTTTTTTAACACAATCCTTAGTCTAATAGAATGTGTTCAGAACCCCATAAATGTTATGAAAAAATTATTAATTATTAAGCCGATTACATTACAACGCACCTCAGACACCTTTGATGTCCTCAGAATGGAATACACATGCATATCCAGAAAGTGGTTGAAGAACTATCCACGACCTGCTACAAGAAGCCAAGATGGGGGCGATCGATGGCAAAATAAAAGACTGTTAACAGTCGATCGGTGATAAATATAATTAAACGTTTACAGTTAAGGTGCTAGTTGTTTTATAGAGATTGAACAGCGGCACAACATTGTTTAAATAGGGTGTGGGGGAAAGCTTCATATTTTCCCCTTTGAAATCAGGAAAACTTCAGAAAGGGCCCTTATTGTCGCCGATTGTAAGCTGATCTTTGGACTTAGGTCTTACTCCTCTTGCTTTCCGAGAAGGCATACAGTATCGATGATAACACTAATTTAAAAAAATCTTGGTTCTAGCTGGGCAGTGGTTTTGGCTTAGTCCCACGAGACTGTTCGGGTATACTCTAATTTTCTCGTCTGGTCCAAGACGTCAAACAACGCACCCGTTTATTTTCTTAGCTTATATTTTGCAATTTCCTGAGATTTTTTTTGTCGGCATATAAGAAATCGTGATGGAGGCGACCAACATCCTTAACCAGGCGAAAATTATAGTGAGTGTAAACAGTTTAGAAAATAACATGAAATGTATATTTTTTGTCATCAAATTCCAAAGCAAGAAGCCCCTAAGCTCTGTTTACAATCAAAGTGCCACAACCATCACATTTTTAAAATCATTTAAGGTGAGCAGTTGGCAGGGCTGGGTGGGCAAAGCAAAAAAATCCACACGTATGCGCGGTCCAACACCCGGGGTCCCTCGCCCAACACTTACTTCCAACTTTCGTACTCGGAGAATTGACACAAGTTTATTTATATTCATTTATTTTTATATATTTTTTCACCTCTATTCATTTTTTTATTAATGAAAGTTTGTTTAATCTTCACTTGCTGCTGAGAAACTGAACGGCGTGCATTGCGTTTTATAAAGCGACGAAACTCAACATGGTCGATAATGAAGACCCTCTAAAACTAAGGATACTGTATCAAGTCCCTCGTTGAAGTTATCCTTTGAAACTCGTTCACTTAGGTGGTTACTTTTCTTTCTTTCCACTGTATTTTTTTAAAAAAACTAGTTTGCCTACTTTGAGTCTGTTTCGCCAAGATGCAACGTAACTGGTAAGGAAATCCCAAGATACCACACACTAAACGATGTGACTATCTCACTGCACTGCAATGCATATATGTTAAAGCTTTTGCAATACTGTAACTACATAATTATATTCATGCAAATAAAGCTTATGTTGTTGTTGTTGTTGTTGTTGTTGTTGCATACATAATTATTTGACCCGGACCGTTGATGCTGGAAATTAAAATCTCCATTAAATTCCGTCGTGTTGAGCCTGCGCAACCCTGTTGCTTTGCTTTTGCACGCCTCTTGGCCAGGTGTTAGCCAGTTTAACTGAGTTCAGTGGACGTTTCTTAGAATTTTCGCCACTCGCACCTCCCAATTGTGATGGTTGACGTCGCATACTTACGTTTTTCGGCATGCCTATTGCCATGGCCTTCGCGGTTTCCTTCCACAACTTAGATACCCTTGACGTGAAAATAGGTATGCAGTGCCAATATTTTCCAAGTTTACTTAGCAAGTTTTATCGTATTCTTCTCTATAGTTTTACGCGACTGTGGTGACCCAGGCGAACCAGACAATGCAATTGTTATCATGGGAAATCACTGGGCAGGGGAGTATATCAGATACCTCTGTAATCCGGGATATACTATGATTGGTCCCGCAGTCAGAAGATGTTTGCCCAGCGGTAAATGGAGTGGAAATACACCAACATGTAAGAATGTGAACTCACTGCAATCCACACGCTCAAATGTTTGTTTTCGTTCGGAAAATAATACAATAATTTTACATTTTTGTTTACCTAACATCATTTTTTTATAATTTTTTTGTAAAAGCTGGCAGTGTTAGCTGTCACCAACTCAGCCATTCTCCATTATTTGCTAAATCGGAAAGACAATTCATGATTGAAAAAATAGACAAATTTATGTTTCAATACTGATATTTAACAGTCCGAATGGCCTCTGAGTCAATAGCCCATTCCGCTTTCGGCCAAATGGGCTAATGACTCAGAGCCCATTCGGGCTCCAGGAATAATTGTTTTAGAACAATCCAACTGATTGGTCAAAAATATCGAGACAAAACAACTTTAACTAGCAAAAGGCGTTTCAGCCGCCATTGTTTTGGTTTTCAAAGCCGGCGCTTTTCGCTACTAGTGGGCTATAACATATAGCCTAGTAGTAGCCCAACCAATCAGAACGCAGCAATGATGATATACCCCGAGTTGGATTTTACTAAATATTATTACTTTCTTAGCTTTAAACAAAAAAAGAATTTAAAAAAATGCGAATTGGCCTTGCTGCAAACGCAAAGCAATCAATTGCAAACATATTTATATTCCAGGTGGCCTCTCCCATAAGACTATAGCAGTAATGTTTCTGATAGTGTAGCTCCTCACCTCTTTGATGATTATGATGATAATGACGATGAAAATTAAAGCTCAGCTGATTATGTTGAGTCGTCTTCGACATAGACTGTTCCAGGCGTTCAAATAATTTAGTGCGGGCGAAAAAAAATGACGACGAGGAAAACAAGCGAAGGGAGACTTAACTCACTCCCCTCTAGCTAACCGCCGCGCTCTACTGTCTGATCGACTGGAACATGCCATCTTCGACTAAATTATCTTTTATAGGAAAATTTAACTTAATATATGCTATTATCTCAATAATATTTTCCGGTTGGCAGTTGAACTTGTGTGTTACTAAACAGAGCCCGTTACCCTGTTACTAAGATCCTCTAATCCAAGAGGGGGAAGGTAACTCTATTGTTTTCCACCTAAGTTTCTTGACCCACTCCGCCTGCCAGTATGACGTCACATAGTAACGGGCAAAAGCCTCGGGTCGCTTTTGTAAATTAGCAAGGGATACGACAGTTATTTGGACGAGCAAGTTCGAGGAAAAGCAAAGAAGCTAACTAATATGGCTATATATCGCTTATTTGATCGAATGTGTGTGAACTTTGGTGTTGCTATAATCTGCTTGTGTAAACCGTTTTGATATTTTGTGTCCGTGACTGAAAAATTTTGTTAATTTGTTTTGCGAGCCGTGTTGCGGGATCGCCATCTATTTCACGGGACCGGCAAGGTCATCAAAACTTCAATCTTTTTTTTTCTCTAAAATAGGCAAGGTCTAGTATCCAGAATAGGAGGTTCCATTCACAGATCATGCATGTTTATATTTCAACTATTCTTTTGCTAATTAAATGGGCCTAACTTCATGTCATTCCTTTCGAGTGCGGGCCTCTGTTGATCTCCTAATTCTCCACCAAATTCAGTAAAGCTAGTTCGATCGATTATACATCGAGTCGGCCTGTTGAACCGGAAATAATGCGAAATAGCTTTGAAATACGCGCTTAAGCTAGTTTTCCTCAAATGTATATTTGAATTCATGATAAATACAGCTCCAACAGCTTCAAACAGCGTCATACGGCAGAGAAAAATTGTTTTGATATGACAAAATTAATTTTTTTCAAATCATGTGTGTCACCGCGTGGTGCAGTGGTCAAGGAGTCTCTTGCACGTGCAGATAAACCGGGTTCGACTCCCGGCGACGCTGCTTTCTGTTTCTTTGTACCGTTCTTTTTTTTCCTGTTTGGTCTATTTTTTTAACACTATTTTTTCTTTTGGTCTTTTTTTCTTTATTCTTGCTGCAGACCCTGCTGGTTATGCACTTGGATCAATGATATATATTTTAACCGGAAAAGGGATACAAAAGCTCTTGATCTGCATACTGGCCAAGCTTACGACCAGATAAAAACCATGAGCTGTCAATACATGTCCCTCCTCTGAAACAGCTGATTTTCCTTTTTCAGTGTTAGTTGACATCATGACACACAGTACACCACAAAGTGTACTAATTTACACCCAACACCCACCAGTGACCCACTGGCGAAAGTTAAACTTGCCTTTTGTACATCGTCTTAATCATCAATACCATTACCCTAAAATCTCCACTGGGTTTGCCCCCCCAAAAAAATTAAACGAAACCTTTTATTCGTTTTCGGGATTTAATTACAGAATTACAGGGGTATGCCCAATACAGTATTACAATGCGGTAAAGCAACAAGATTCAATGCGCACAGTCTCTCACAAATACCTGTCATTTAGCTTCCCCTTTCAACGCTAAAGCTACGCGAACTTTGAGAGGAATGATACTGGGTTTCACTAGCTCTGAAGTGCTGAAAATACGCAGAATGTATAGTGTAATACATCCTTTGATGAACCTCCTATTGCTGTGTCTAAACTCCTCAATCTTGCTGTGTACTGGCCCTCAAAAGTGTGACCGGTCGGTATGATTGCCCGTAGAATTTGCTCGACGATAGAAAGGAATCTTTACATTTTATTACACCACTACTGGACATTTCATTCCAAAGAAGTACTTAAATTTAGTTTTCTATGACAATAGAAACCTAAAATCTCCAAATCCAAGAAATTAGAACGGTATTTCCGTGATAAAATCGAAATATTTATCCGTCTCTTCGATGAACACTTTGCTCGCCATTTTGAAAGTCACTGACGCGAGACGTGACGTCATACTGGCAGGCAGACTGGACCACAGATTTCCTTGGAGATACCTCCCCACCTCCCCCCCCACCCCCCCTCCCCGCTCTAATCATGCGCGAAATAACGACGGTAACCCTTTGCATCGGATAAGTGTGGAAGCAATGCCCATTCGAAAGAATGCACGAGACCCCTTTAGCTTAAGAAAGTGGATAATTGTACCAATCCCTCAGTATACTATAACTAAATTTAAAAATTCAAATTTTCGTAGTTTTTTATTTATTTATCATTGTAAAAAGATATTCTTTTTTACTAATTTATATTCACATTCGTTTTTAACAGTTCTCAATGTTTCAATTTTTATAATTTCTAAGAATTTCTAAGACCCTTTATTGTAATCAATTTTATACATACACGTAGGCCTTTTATCATTATTTTTTTTAGAGGAGGGTTACTAGGGAGAATAGTTTCATAGTAATAGGTCTCACCGTACCCGTCTTTAAAGAAAGGTTATTGTTTATTGCTTCCTGTTACAAGAAGATTTTAGTCCTAGTTGGCGCACGCATCGGTCACTGAGAGCTGGCGAAATGATAATGAATTTCTTTCTCCCTTTTTAACGCAGGATTTTGCGGATAAGACATTCAATCACTTCAGTGCTGCTATAAAGAAAATCGACAACAATTTTCCCTTGACTACTTCTTATAAATCATGCGATGATAGAAAGAACGTCTAAATGTTCCAAACTGAACCTTTCAGAGGAAACGTTCCTCTGTTGTCGTGAATCTATTTGAAATATGAAATTTTTTTCGTAGTCAAAAGTCTGAATCATTTCATAAGCATGTAGATTTAAAAAGAAAGGTCGGCTTTTTATGTGCAATACATTCTCAACATTATCATCGTCATCCTTATCATTATTTAACGGCTTTTCCTACTTCATGCTGTCTTCGAAACTTTGATATTATCAAGGTATGAATAGTTCACTGGCACCTATTGCAATGTCATCACCATATCCACTCACCATTTATATCATGATTATGATTATTACGCCATAGGGCACACAGAGCGCTAAAATATTGAGCCTCTCTATGGCTACCTGTCCACGTCGTTTTCGTCGCGCGTTTTCTAAATCAAAATAATAGTCGGTTTTTCAACGAAATCGTCGTACTAGCGACCTCGAGCTGCAACCAGCGGTGACGAGAGAAACAAAATATGAAAACAAAACCTACAGGTTTAATAAGCAAAATCAAACAATCTGCATTTGAAGTACACTTTTTGGCGGATTCTTTTGCCATCACCGCACGACTAACGTTGTCAAACTTCATCGGAATGGCAATGCGATCGTCGCTTTCATCAACTCTATCTCGTCGCGACTACGATTTTATCTGAAATACCGACAGAGCGGCTCAATATTCCCGCACTTTGCCATATTGTTAGCTAAGTTTTCTTTTTTGTCTTTTCAGGTAATAAAACAGAGTGTGTTGAGCACAGGACGATAGATGATGATTCAAGATCTCATCGGTATTCTGCTAGTAACAATAATAAAAATGACCGCTATCTCCCCGAAGGCTGGTACAGATTTGTGACGCGAACACGAATGAACACAAAATGTGTTACTTCCGGCAATAACTACTGCAACACAGCTTATATCGGGTATTTAAGCCAAAATCATCCGTCTGTTGAAGAGGGGATTGTTACGCGGCAAGTGTGTTTCAGTTATCCTTCTTATTGTTGTCGTTATTCCACCTACATAAAAGTACTCAATTGCGGTTCATTCTACGTGTACAAACTCAAACCCACACCAGTTTCTTGGGCTCGTTATTGTACCGAATAGTTATGAGCGAACTAATATTCACCTGCAGTTTTCATAAGATCCAGCGGAATCAAAAAGAGAAGCACTTACAAATCAATATGGCAATGTTCTGTTTGACTCATTTGATCGGATATTAAATTTCTCTCTCTTTTTTTTTAATTAGCTGTTTTAAGTGACTGCAATTATCATTGTTATATAAAACGTATTGGAAGAGGCTGAGTATGATGGAAGAATAGATCAATTTACAGTTGTTTGCTTGGCAATCCAGCCTTTAAGTGGAACCTACGGTGTCATTCACATGACTTACATTCGAAAAGCAGAAAGGCAGTGAGTTTTCTATCAACTTAGGCCTCTGATTTCCACTCAAGGCCAGTTCGCCCCATGTAAGGAAACCTAAGACTATTCAGGATTCCAAAGCCCAGGATTCCGGATTCCACAGCAAGAATTTCAAGTGCTGGATTCAGGATTCCACAAGAAAAAATTTTCCGGATTCCTTTACATGGGGCGAGCCAGTGCTCAGTACACAACTTTAAAACGGCCTATTATGCACATCGAAGGGGATCACATCGCCTCGATCTGCATAATTCTTTACATCATACGAAAGCCAAATTCAATAGTTACCGAGAGGTTTATTATTCATTCAAAATAAATTATCCCTGAGCTGCCGCGCCGCTTATTTGCATGAGGTCTGTGCGTCCCTTTTGTACGGTCAAGTAACTTGTAACCGCCCACGTTTGATATATTTAAATTTTAACATGGCTCCGAGGCTTTAGGGACAAAATTACAAATTTTTCACAACTCCATTGTCTCGTAATTCCCAGAAGAGACTTGAGCCCAAAGAAAACCAAAGCAAATATAGAATCAACAACACCAGAAAGGCACGGAGTCATGTTATACATATTATCGAACGTGGGCTATTGCCGTCAGTCGTCGATTAACAGCAAGCTGAAAACTCTTCTCAGTCAACAACTTATTTTGATGTTACACGCGTTAAATGAAGTTCCCGTTGAAATGGTGAAAACCCGGGTAGAAGGGTTACCATCCCAACCGAGTCAAAATTTAGCAAGCGTTTATATGACACTTCCCTGCCTGAGACAACAACGCTCGAGCAAGCTCTGCAAGTTAAAAGGTTGTCTGGATAGCGCTCGCACATGCTTTGATTGTCTTTACCCCGCTGAGTGAGCCCAAAATTTTATATGGAGAGAAGCTGGGCCGACTATGTGGGTGACCCTACCATATCAATATATCAGCCGTTGAGGAACCGGGAAGAATCAACTGTTCTGCTCCTCTGTACCTGAAACACGCGTAAAGAAAAACATCACCATGCCCGCCATACAGGGGCACCCAATGGGCGGAATCTGTTCCTCAAAATATCTGTTCTACAGGCAAATTTTATGTTGGCTGGGGCGATGTGGAAGAAGTAATATGGAAGGAAAGTGTTGCTGGGAAAAAGATAATGGAAGTTGTCAGAGTGGATGTGATTTTTATAATAGCTGCTGTGCTGTGTCCTATCCATCAGAAACCCCCAAACTTGCCAGTAATGTCTGGACATAATTCTTCTCGTAAACGTCCCATTAAGTCAGGTCGTAGGTGCACCTTGCTGGCTGGGAACATTTCCATCAGTCTTGCTGGGAGTGAGGAACAGGTAAATTTTTCCCAGCAATCTCCACAAATGCTTAAAATGGCTTCAGAAAGATTCATTCATGCTTTGTCATGTTGTTGTTGTTGTTAGGTCTTTTTCTCAAAATTACCCTTTGGGTGCCCCTGCATATAGACATACCTGCCCAGGTCAATTATTAACTGAAGCAATATTTTTCACTCTAATTTCACCCTTGTAATATTTTCCTACTTTGCATTTTTTCTTCTTTTTTTTTTCAAGATCTATCATCTGTCAAAATACCGTAACCTACGGTTCATAACCCATGGGCTTATACAGAAGTCAAATCCATAATTATTCTTCTAGATACGCCGATGACTGTCCTCATTTCTGTAGAACAAAGGTGAAAAAAAAATTACAATCCTATAATAGTATATATTTAGCCAGGGCTAAAAGCGAAGTTCTCGATAATATTTATAGTTTGTTGAAACAAAATATAAAATCCTGTAATGCTGAGCGGCGAAGGCATGCAACGCCGGAAAACGTGAAAAACCGCAATAGGTCTAATTAGCAAAAGCAACTTTGCACGTGCAGCACACTTTTTTTGTACATTTCTTTGCCGTTGTTTTGCACGACTAAAACGCGAAACTTCCAGAACCTTCTTAGTTACACGTTTTATGGAGGAAATGTCGTACGTGTTCCCGTTCACTTTCACTGCCGCTCATTTTCACCTTGCATTGGTAGCCGCTAGCATTTCTCTTTTTGTCACCGCCGCTACAAAATTTTCATCTTGTTCCTCCAACAAAAAAATGTCTCCTTTGTTTTTCTCTAAATTCCTGTCGCCCTTTTTCTCGTTGAGCTTCGCTGGCCAGCCGCCCACTTTCTCTTTTTCTCTGTGTTTTTCTAGCTCCATATTCCAAATTTGTGGACATGAAAATTTATCTAAGCTTAATACTTTAGACAACACGGATAAAGAATTAATTTCCGCTTCCCGTTTTCGTCTTTGTTGATTCTTTTGTTGTCTCTGCTTTACAAGACGCCGGTGGCTATGCGATTTCCCGCCAAAATAACCTCGAGTTGCACTTGGGTTACCATGCCTGTTCATTGAGTTTTTTTACATTGGTATGCCTGTGGTGCGGACGGACAGTCTCTGGGGCGGGCGGGCGGTGTACGGTCACGAATTTTCTCGAATGGGTAGATTACTTCATTTTCTTACCCATGGTGCTCCGCTGGCGCGCTTCGTGCGCGAGAACTCCGCTACTAAGGACCGAACAGAAGTAGTATAGGGTGCACCACGGTTTCCACTTTTTTGAGCAGGAATCTCATTAGCGTGAGCAGGAATACATTAACGCCGATGACGTCATAGGCTATTGTCTTGATCTCATGAATAAAATGCGGTGGATTTAATTAAGTATACTGGTATAACCGGTTTGACAGATTTTAGTTATTTTCGGAAGATGATGTCATATGTATTCCGGGGTACTATGATGTCATAGTTGTTTTGATTGGTTGACCGGAATTTGAAAGACGTTCATTGGCTGTCTCGTTTGACGAAGCATTCTAAACTTGTCTGTGACTTAAAATCACGGAGGCGTAATGTAGTTATGCAAGTCCTGTTTCCTGCTGCTGTGATTGTCCTAGTTCCGGTTCACTGACTTTTGGCGGGAAAATCGTGCATATTAATGGGGGCAAAGACAAACTAGCTCTTTTTAGCACGAAATACAATGTTTTACTTACCCCTCTCCCTTTTCAATTTTATCTCTCTCCTCAATCCCTTCTCCACAATTTTATTATTTTCCCTCCTCAATGTTTTTATTCTCTCCTCCACAATTTTTATTATTTTCCCTCCTCCTCCTCATTTTTATTGTTTTCCCTCCTCCTCCTCGTTTTTATTGTTTTCCCTCCTCCTCCTCCTCTCCTCCTCCTCCTCATTTTTATTGTTTTCCCTCCTCCTCCTCCTCATTTTTATTGTTTTCCCTCCTCCTCCTCCTCATTTTTGTTTTCCCTCCTCCTCGTCCTCCTCATTTTTATTGATTTCCCTCCTCCTCCTCCTCATTTTTATTGTTTTCCCTCCTCCTCCTCCTCCTCCTCCACCTCCTCATTTTTATCGTTTTTCTCGAAAAGGCCAAGAGGCTAAAATCAGGCCTATATGGCCAAACTCAAATGTGATGGTGTGATTTTAGCCTTTTGGCCTTTTCGAGGAGTAAGTAAAACATTGTATTTCGTGCTAAAAAGAGCTAGTTTGTCTTTGCCCTCATTAATATGCACGATTTGCCCGCCAAAAGTCAGTGAACCGGAACTAGGACAATCACAGCAGCAGGAAATAGGACTTGCATAATTACATTACGCCTCCGTGATTTTAAGTCAGAGACAAGTTTAGAATGCTTCGTCAAACGAGACAGCCAATGAACGTCTTTCAAATTCCGGTCAACCAATCAAAACAACTATGACATCATAGTACCCCGGAATACATATGACATCATCTTCCGAAAATAACTAAAACCTGTCAAACCGGTTATACCAGTATACTTAATTAAATCCACCGCATTTTATTCATGAGATCAAGACAATAGCCTATGACGTCATCGGCGTTAATGTATTCCTGCTCACGCTAATGAGATTCCTGCTCAAAAAAGTGGAAAACGTGGTGCACCCTATACTACTAACAGACCGAAATTGTGGAACTCTTTACCGCACTGAATAATAAGATGAAACAACATAAGAATCTTTAAATGTTTACTTACATGAATCATATTTATTAAGTAATTAATTAACAGAATAGTCCTTTTAACTTTTTCTTAATATTTTCTATACACTTGTAAGTTACTTTATTATATGCTGTTCTTTATTTATAATCAATAACTATAATAAAATCTAATGTAAAGAGTCTCACCTATAAGCCTTCATGGTTTCTTGAGACTTCGTCACCTTTTGACTGAAGACTTTTTCAAAATGTACATATTTCTTGTGATGTAATGTTTTTTCCCTTTCATTTATATGTAAAAAAAAGGAATTAATAATCAATAAATCAATAAATATTTAAGGAGGGCTTATAAACGGAAGGGCTTATATCCGCGCGAGTGGGCTTATAACCGGAATTGAAATAGCGTATCAAAATAAGCCAGAGCAGTGCTGGTCAAAATACGTTTTACCTTTATTGGTTTTTAATTAAGCTTCAAAACTTCATAATAAATCAAATTCGTTCCAATACATTTGGAGGGGGCTTAAAATGGAATCCCCCCACCGCCCCATGAGAAAAACCGCAAAGCCCATACATACGGCTTCTCCGGTCTTCTGAAACGACCGGTTGTGCAATACAAAAAATGGAGGCGTTAACACAACCACCGAGACCGCGCTTCGGGGGTCTTAGAAAATACTTCAAACATGTAAAACACAGGTTGGCGGCTGTCACATTAAGAATAGTTTTTGTTTCTCCTGCGTATTACAGTTAAGGGGTGATGGGGGACGAGGAACTGGCAAAAAAGGGTTTTATGGGAGATGTGCAAATGGCGAATGCATTTTTGGTTTACAAATAGGGGCTTATAACTGGGGGAGGGGGGGGGGAGCGAGAAATATAAGCGGGCAGTCCACGGTAGTTAAGATTGTGTGGGACTGTCCTCTTTCCCCTCCCCTTAATTGCTCCTGATCGTTAACACTAACTCCTCACTTAGGCAAAATATTGGTTAATTAGGGGGGTGTTGGGCGAAGAATCTTCTACTGATTCCGTTCATTGTTCCATATTTTCTAGGTAAGCCAATCCCCTGCTTTAAACTCGCTCGAGCCATTTTTGGGTTTGAAGGTTCGATCATAAGCGTACGGGCCGGGGGGCGAGGGGGGCTCCCCCCCCCCCAAAAAAAAAAAAAGTTTGGGCAACTCAGATTTTTTGGGAAGAAAGAGAAAAATTGGGCAAAGCCAGTTTTTAACAACGTTTCCATTTTTTTTTTTTTTTTTTTTTTTTTTATTTTTTTTTTTTTTTTTTTTTTTTTCACTGTCTTTTCTGTTTTTTTTTTTGCGCTTCACCCGGCCGAAAACACCCCCCCTAGAGC